TTTTGTGTATTATACTTAAATTATACGTACCTACAAAAAGAACAACAAAACTCTATATGTTGATCCAACATGTACGAAACAAATTTCCCTAAGGCATGTGTAGCACCCGAGCCCTATGGCTCGGGCTTATGCCACATCTCTTTTTGAAGTGCCCGAGCTTGATAGCTCGGCCTTGCACTTGTGACTTTATTGCTTCCATGTCTTATTACTTAGTTTTATGCTACAATCTTTCTTCTAACTACCGAGCATATTAGCTTGATTTTATGATTTTTACCAGTCACCACAATTCCATAAGATTTTATCAAAGATATGCAAGCAATGAATATATTATTCGACAACAAAGAACGTCAAAAGACTCATCGTATTAATGCATTATATTTTACAGCAATTACATAATAAAAAACAAAAAAATATTACATCAGATTAATTATATAATAAATATGCAACAATAATATCAACTATCTATGCACTTTGATGAACTAAACATGCACTACGTATGAACTAAATGTGTATTTTGCATTAACTAAATGATTGCATTTTATATAATTAATTTTAAATATAATAATTATTATTTTGTATTATATAACTAACGCAACTTTCAATTGATTAATCTAAGTCATTGATGTACAGAAATAAATAGCGATAATTAGATCTCACATGAACTAAATATGCACTATGATAATCAAAATATGCATAATGAATGAAATAAATATGTGCTATATATTATAGTAACTATATAATAAATAAACAAAATTAATTATATCAAATTAATTATATAATAACTATGCAACAATAATATCAACTAAGTATGCACTATGATGAACTAAACATGCACTGGGTATGAATTAAATGTGCATTTTTGCAACTGTGAGCATTTTATATAATTAATTTAAATATAATAATTATTATTTTAATTATATAATTAATGTAAAGTTCAAATAATGATTAATATGAGTCGTTGATCTACACATATAAATAGCTTCGACTTTACCTCAGATGAACTAAATATACACTGTGATGATCTGAATATACATTTCATATAAACTAAATATGCATAAAGAATGAATTAAATATGCATTATATATTACAATAATTATATAATAAAAAATAAAAAATATTACATCAAATTGATTATAAGATGCAATTGAGTCGACTGAAAGGAGAGTAATAAACATGCAACAATAATGTCAACTAAGTATGTACTATAATAAACTAAATATGCACTCTGTATGAATTTTAGTGTACATTTTGCATTAACTAAATGTTAGCATTTGATATAATTAATTTTAATATAATAACTATTATTTTTTATTATATAATTAATGTAAATTTTAATTTATTAATATGAGTCATTGCTCTACACAAATAAATAGCTATTAGTGAATTTCATATTAACTATATATGCACTATGATGAACTAAATATGCATTTCGTATGAACTAAATATACATAATGAATGAACTAAAAATGCATTATGTATTACAATAATTATATAACAAAAAATATATATATCAAATTAATTATATAATAAATATGCAACAATAATATCAACTAAGGATGCACTATGATGAACTAAACTTGCACTACGTATGAACTAAATATACATGTTCATGAACTAAATGTGTTCATTTTAGATAGTTAATTTATATATAATAATAATTACTTTTTATTATATAATTAATGTAAACTTTATTTGATCAATATGAGTCATTGATCTACACAAATAAATAGATATGATTGGATCTCATATAAATAAAATATGCACTATGATGATCTAAATATGAATTTCGTATGAACTAAATATGCATTATTTATTACAGTAATTATATAATAAGAATATATTATGTCAAATTAAATATTTAATTAATATGAAAATATAATATCACTAAGTATGCACTATGATGAACTAAATATGCACTACTTATGAACTAAATGCGCAAATTGTCATGTGCAGTCAAAATATGCAACTACATGTGCATTTGATATATTTAATTTGAATATAATAATTAATACTTTTATTATATAATTAATTTTAATTACTACTTATGGTCATTGATGTACACAAATAAATGGTAATGATTGGACCTCGCATGGACTATATATGCACTATGATGATCTAAATATACATTTCTTATTAGCTAAGTATGTGTAATGAATGAACTAAATATTCATTATGAATTACAACAATTATTAAAAAAATTATATCAAATTAATTACAATAAAAAATTATATTTTGTCGGTTTGAACTAAATATGTATGCTAAATATGCAGTTTATATGAACAAAATATTTATGCTAAATATGCATTTTTTTATGAACCAACTATGCATTATGTATGAAGTAAATTTGCACTCAAAATATGCAGCTGAAATGAACTAAATGTGCATTTTGTATTAACTAAATATGCATGTAGTATAACTAAATATATTTTATGAACTAAATATGCATTTGGTATGAGTTAAAAATGTATAACTAAACTATGCATTATGTATTACCTAATTATGCATAATAAATAATCTAAATGTGCATTAATCATGTAATAAAAAATCCAAGGGTCAAAATGTAGTTATTCAAACTTTAAATAAGTTACAAATTGACCCCCAAGGATTAAATTGCAACAACTCAGAAGTTTGAAAAAATACAATTAAATCTCCACAATTTATCTAATTCTCAAAATTAGCCCAATACCCAAATCTGATTTATCTAATTCACGCGCTAGATGAGCTGGAGGATCTCCCTAGCTGTCGTCGTGATCCTTGCTGAGACCCTCAACAGTCTCATGTAAAGTGGCCATGACGCAAAGGCCACCAAGCACCTCCTCCAAAAAAAATAGAGGCACGAGCAATGTAGAGGCCGAGCTCGACGACCTCATAGCCGTCGACCATGCCTCAGAACAGTAATGAAGATCGTGTATCTCGATAACTTGGTTTGCGTCGAAAGTTGCTTTCCATGACTTCCTTATCGGTGATAGGTTGTGGACGAGTCATATTTCTCCTTATTTTCTCATGACTTGAGACAGCTCTGATGTGATATCCTTGTCAAACTCGAACTTATGAAGAACTGTGTGGTGAAACGCCCATTTCGGCAGATGGATTTTGCACTAAAAGTAGAATTCTAACACAAGAAGTTGAACAAAAGTTTAGAATTTTTATTGATCAAAAGTTGAATAATTTGAACCCAAACAGTGGTATTTCAAGAAAATAACTAAGTCTAGTTGTTTGTCTCATTTTTGTTGCATTTTTCGTAGTTATTTTTCCTTTCTCTTTCCCCCGTTTTAGGTCTTTTAGTTAGTTTTTAATTCGTTTTGTAGTTTATTTCGTGATTTGTGTTGTAGCAGAAATTATTATTTTTACCAAGTACCGAATCAAATGATTCGTTCCCCGGGTCGATCTCTCGAGGAAGGCGGTTCAGAATTTAGAAATGGTATTGATAACACAAAAAAGGAAAATAAATCCTAAACACTCTAATCAGGATGGGGGTAGAATAATTACCAACTAAGAAAAAATATAAACGAAACAAAGATGGAGAAGCTAGGGAATCGGAGATAATTTATTCAAGTTCTTAGCAAAACCGGACAATTAATCGTTCAGTTCGAGATTGATACTCTCGCTTCGACATCTAGCGGTTCGCTCCCAGTAACTCTTCGTAACAAGGAATTGAACATAGACGAACAAGCTCGACCATACAATACCGGTCAACTATCCAATCCCAATAACTTTTCGTAACAAGAGACGGGTCATTGACAAACACATATTTCAATCCAAAACCTATAGACTATTCAATTACGAAATCATCTACCTCATGCGAGCCTGGGCCCACGACTTCTCCCCTTTCGGTTCTAAAAGTCGCTAATTACTAGAAGTTGATTAATCAACTAATCATATAGAATTGACAAACCCTACATCGACAAATTACATTCAATCGTTTTCAATCGCAAGATCGAAGTGTCACTCTGCGATTATATCAATCAATCAAGCGGAAATTCATCAATTCCGAATTATATCAACTCACATAAGCATGAACAAATCAAGCCCGACAAATACAAATCAAACAAGAACAATCATCCCCTATCCCTAGCAATAAGAATTAGCTAAGTATTAACAATTCAACACAATCCATCATCTCTCTCAATTCAACCATTATTCATGAATTAAAAATAAAGAGAAGAACTTACAATAAATCGCAATTCCAAGTGTTGAATTTGAATTACAGGTTTAATCCTTGAAAATAATAAAAAGAAGAAGAAAAATGGAGAAGAGGGATGAAGAGAGGAGGAAAAACGAAGAAGAAGAAAGGAGAAAGAAAGAGAAGAAAAGAGGAGAAAAGAGTTTCGTGTTTTTTCTCGGGCCAAGGGTTTTCATCTCCAGGAGGGGAGATTATATCTGTGTTGACGTCCCGATCTGATATTTATAAGCAGCAGGGTGTCACGGGCGTGAGATAGTGCCACGGCGCAAGGCGCACATCTGCCGCGGCGTGAAGGGACCATCGTAGCGTGGCGCTGGGGAAGATGGAAGTCTCTGCTTGTCCGTGACGTGCACCGCGGCGTGGAGGAAGTGTGTGGCGCGGCGTGGGGGCTATTTCGCGCCGTGGAGGGGGTCAGTGCCGCGCCGCGGCATGCAGGGCTCCTGGTACGTGTACGCATTTCGGGCTTGTTTGGGCTCGTCTGAACTCGGAATTGAGTTCTGTTTTTTCCTATGCGTCGCTAACGAACCTCTCTATTAATCTATGCGCTCAAAACAAA